AGTCATGCTTAACTAACAAAACTGATTTGAAACATCGGCCTTATTTAATTGAAAAAATACGTGCAAGGTTTAGCAGTGATTTCAATGAAATTAAAAACAAAATAGAGTACATATCTAAAAGAATAAATTGGCTTTATATTTAAAAAAAATATTGTAAAACACTTAGGTAATATAAAATGTCAAAGTTACTCTATCTGTTTTGTGTGGGACTACGATATCGAATAAAAACCAAATCCCGGGCACAGGTGATGTCACGTGAGTGACCTGCTCCGGGATTACAGCCGTAAGCCTCTCAGAGGACTCAAAGCTTCGACTTACCGACCTTCTGCGGGTTTTATAATAACTTTGATATTTCCTGTAATTAGTTAAAGAAAGATTTTGGTTTTTTTTTGTAGCGTATATGTATATATAATGTAGTTTGGTAGCGTTGACTTGCTCGTTTCGGAAATACTCAAACGTGTATATAAAAATCTACAGTCTAAATTACTAGATTCTTACAGTACTTAATATGACCTTGACTTAATATTGTGGTACTTTTCTTAACCGCTCTGAATTTTTTTTTTCTTTTTCTTATGTAGCTGGACGAGCTCACAGCCCACCTGGTGTTAAGTGGTTACTGGAGTCCATAGACATCTACAACGTAAATGCGTCACCCATTTTGAGATATAAGTTCTAAGGTCTCAAGTATAGTTACAACGGCTGCCCCACCCTTCAAACCGAAACGCATAACTGCTTCACAGCAGAAATAGGCAGGGCGGTGCGGACTCACAAGAGATCCCACTACCAGTAATTACGCAAATTATAATGTTGCCGGTTTGATTTTTATTTCACGATGCTATTCACCGTGGAAGTCAATCGTGAACATTTGTTAAGTACGTATTTCATTAGAAAAATTGGTACCCGCCTGCGGGATTCGAACACCGGTGCATCGCTAGATATCAATGCACCGGACGCCTTACCCTTTGGCCACGACGACTTCAAAACTTCGACGACGAGTATAGTTATACCTCCACATTTAACGCCTTAGCGTCTTTCATATCATCATATTCCAATCTTTTTTTTTATTACTCGAAAACTATATTTTAAACATGATATAAACTCATAGAGAGGCCGAGGGAATCCAGTGATTAGCTTCGAGGTTAGCTCTGAGCTTCACATTTCACAAGAGGTCCTACCACCAGTACTTTATGGTTCGTCTAGACTTAATTCATTCGAGAACATACGGTCGCCCTCAATGGGTTGCAGTCTCAAATGTTTCGAATACCGGCTATCTCAACCTTTAGACGCAAACTATTGTTTTGTAAGCAAAACATAGTTCAGTGTGCTTGTGCACAACCAATGCCAACAGCTAATTGTGTCTAAAAAAATAATTAAAAAATCTTATCAAAAGATATACATTTCTGCACAACGCTATTCCTGTATTAGCCCAAAAATTACTTCTCTCTAAATAAGTTACGAGGAAAGTCTTAATTCTGATTAATAGCCGTGTAGAGTTAAGGACTTTTTGACTGATTAAAAAGAAATTGATCAATGAAAATAATCAACGCCAGGTTATATAATAGCATATTTTTATTTAATCATTGTGGTTACACCCGTAAACCTAAGAAATTCTTAGGTGATCGTAACTATAAAAAATTAGTATTATCCAAGCCAAACAACGAATTAGTCCAATGGACATAAAAACAGAAGCATCTAGTCTAAGAAAATCTAAGGAAAAGAAAACATGCTACGTGCATGAATGAATTAGATATCAAATTAATTAGTGACGACTATTCAACCCGCAAATTAAATTCAAACGTATGACTGCTTTATTGAAAAAATTTAAAATGCCAGGTCACAATATACCCTTCAGTGAAATGATGCTTACAGATGAAATTTTAAGTCAAAACATTTTCTTTGGTAAATGTCTAGCCTTTTTCTAGTTAATTTTGGATGTTATATCCCGAACTTGGAGACTTATCTCTACAACAGATTCCGTAAGAGTTCATCGAACATCAATATTTCCAAAGGAAGTAGCTGCAACAGCCAAAAATACTTTAGGATAAAAAAAAATCACATAAATATTTTGTATTTAAATTTATTTGCAATCAACTCTAACAATGAACCTAAAAATAAAAACCTTAAAAATAATAATATTTTTTTATTTTTTATATTGTATAGTATAGTCTATGTACCGAATGTTTTGATAGTGGCTAACCGTTGTCACGCAATAACAATTTTTATGTGTCGTGTTTACTTTATTTCTAAAATCAAAAATAATAATAAACTAATTTATGAATTTTGTTGATTTGTATTAATTTATGATGACTAAGACAACTGTGCAGTGTAAGATAGTGATTGTTGGAATTCATATTATGGTAAATATTGTAATGTTGACAATGACACAGACCCAGGGTCTCTATAGGATTGTTTGTCAAACATAACAATAATATATAGGAAAAAAGTATCAAATAGCAGAATAAAATCAGAACGTAACCAACATGGCGGGAATATTCTCACACGTCACAACGTGCAGGCCGCATGGGAAATACACTTGATTGCACTGATTCGCTATTCTGCCACCCCGCACACGGTGCATTCTGATTTCACAACGTTTTTCTACTTTGATACACTTTATAACGCTTCTATTGCGCTCTGTTGCAGAACTTTATGTTGTTTGGTTGAAGAAAAAGAAAGTGCGATCCATCTATTGTATATATAAATCAATCACTATCTCTGCAGTCACCACTTGACAACTTGTGGACGAATTCCCTTTATCTTTAAAATGTTCGTAATCATTCTAATAAAACTTTATAGAAACAAAAACTAAGAAAATTTCCCTACAAAACAATAACAATTTAGTTGAATAATATTTGGAAGAGAGGTCTGTCGGTTCTGTTAGTTCTTAAATTTTAGTTTGCTAGCTAGTTTTTACTTAAGCTAAATACCTCAGAAGTGATTCACGATTTCGTAGGGTAGTTTTTTTATTGCACACAACTTGGTGAACAAACTCACAGCTTCCTAGATGTTTCCTAATTCTATTTCAATAACTAACTTTCCGATCATCTTTCAAAACTGACTGCCAAAATTTGATTTTGCGAGTGTCATAGTTATGTACGTTTTTACATGAAACCATGTTCGGTATTTTTTTATTTTACTTATTTACTAGTGGTAGGACCTCTTGTGAGTCCGCGCGGGTAGGTACCACCACCCTGCCTATTTCCGCCGTGAAGCAGTAATGCATTTCGGTATGAAGGGTGGGACAACCGTTGTAACTATACTTGGGACTTTAGAACATATATCTCAAGGTGGGCGGCACATTTACGTTGCAGATGTCTATGGGCTCCAGTAACCACTTAACACCAGGTGGGCTGTGAGCTCGTCCACCCATCCAAGCAATAAAAATGATCCTTATAAAGAGATTTCCCAAAATTTGTTTTGCATTACACATAAACTTTTTTTTGCTTTAGATCGGCAAACAATTTAAGCTACCAAATGCTAAGTACTTACCGATTTCATAAACGTCACAATTTGCTGTCATTCACCTCAAGACATAGGGCTTAATAACATTCTTACTTAAACACATATACTTTAATAAAACAAAGTAGTTTCTCGAAATTAGACAATTGAACGAAGTCGATTTATTTATTAATGCAGTCGACACTTGTAGTGTGCGCACGTGAACTGAGATCCTAATTAGATTTAACACATTACATTTTGTTTATTTATTACTTACGAGTGAAATTATACCTATGTATTTAATTTTTTGCTTGATTTGATGGGCTATCTCAAGACCCATCTAGTTTTAATTCGATACCAGTGCCCATAGACAGCAACAACGTAAACGCCTTCATCGAACCTGAGAAATGAATTGTAAGTCTCAATTTTAATAGTACAACAGCTGCTCCAGCCTTCAAATCGAAGCGCATTACTGCTTCACTAAATATGTATTGTACGCTACAAACTAAAATACATTTTTGAGACGGTGAGATTAGTTTATCGAATTTAGGTTTCATACTTCAGTGATTGAATCCCATTGACATAATTATCACAATGTTACTGTCACAATGTCACTGTCATTATCACGGGACATCAAGATGAAGTCGAAGCATCGACATATCATGGCTCATTTGGAGCCACGGTGGCATAATTGCTAAAAAATGTGAAATTGATTTAATTATACCAAAATGATTTTTTTTCCACTTAGATATGGTTTGATTATTTATTTATTTTTAAATTAGTCTCCTTTCAAGCCTAGACTTCAAACTACAAAAGTAAAATAATAGAGATAGTCATTACCTGTCAGAAATATTTAGAATCTTCATTAGTATTACGAAAACTGGCGTAGTGTAAAATTTACAAATTTACATTTGTGTCACAGTCGCTCCAAATGAGCGATATGTACATTTACGACCATCTCAATATATGCTCAAGTATTTACAAATCTAAATATATATCTATATATTAATACGTGAAGCAAAAACTTTGTATCCCTTTTTACGAAAATTGCGCGGACGGAGGAGTATGAAATTTTCCACACTTATTGAGAATATATAGAAGAAGTGCACAATGCCAATGTTTTTTTTAAATAATGCATAAAAGATACATTAAATCAATAAAGAAAACATTACACACACTACATACCATGTATTTGACGCACACACGCATGCATACTATTTATTGTCAAACTTTTGTTCTTGGCGTCTGTTGTCAAATTAAGAATAGATTAAATATTGTTTGTCTTTGTTAATATTTTTTATTGTGACGAAATTTGTATTATATAATTATAGATATAATTATAGAAGTATAAAATACTATCATAATAGTGTACAAACTTACAATTCCAATTAATTATAGTCGAATTTCGACTACTGCGGGACCTCTAGATAATATAAATTCAGTGAAAATCTTAAAGCGACGTAAAATTTTCACTAAATAGAAAACGAGAAAATTCTACGATCTACAAGTTTTCCTTTCGACGCATACATATAAGGATATGATCTAATCGTTGGAAAAATGCGATGTACGTTGATGTTACGCACTACACTCGACGTTCGCAAGCAGGAACCGTGGCGGGTGCGTCTTGCACAACCTACTTCAATATTAACTGGCGTGCTCGGGTATCCTGCACAGTGATCAACACTAACAGCACAACACCAGTCGACATGTGCCACAAAATCATTGTGAGTAGTACATACAATTTACGTTTGTAAATAAAACCTTTTCTGTACTCTTAATCTAGTGTTCGAAATTTGAATTGTATTAAAATCATGGCCGAAGGTTTTTTTTTAAAACTAAACAAAAAAATAGGTATAAAATATTTATGTGTTCGAATTGTACTCAGTATTTTAAAATTAACAGCAAATCGTTGCCTTACCTTTTAAAAATAAAGTTATGATAGTTGTCTATGTTCAGTTAGTAGAAAACTATGTTGTTTTTTTTTTTTTTTAATTAAACTTGTCGAATATTTTACGAATTTTGGCGTGACGTCAGACTGCTTTGTTTTTTTTTAAAATATTGTATTGAAATAAGGACGTACTGAATGCGTTTGTTAATTGGAAAAAAGGCTTTTTCATCTCATTATTTATTTTTTAATAATTTCCGTAGATTATCTTTAAATTCTATGTTCCAAATATTCAATATACTTTTTTTCTCTACCTATTCGCTGATAGTCTAAGAGGCCATTTCAGCTTCTTGCGGCCGGATTATGCCAGATACATATCGAGCATCCAGTATAACAATGTGCGAAACACGGACACTTGTTAATGGTAAATAGACGTTTTGACAGGCCGATTTCAATTTCTAAGTAAATAATAGTATGCAAGGTGAAAACTGATTAGATTCTGTGGCACGTTGCGTTATTGCAGCTATGCACTGATTAAATAAGTAACCGCCGTGAAATGTGTGTGCATTTAATCGATTTCATACTAAACAGGATTTTATTCGAATCAAATTAACGAATTTAAGACTTTGAATATATTTTTTAATTATTTATATATCTTTTTATTCTTTCTGCTGCAATGTCATTATCACTACCAATATTAAGATCCAACATTCGATTACATCAGCTAAATCAGGGGGCAAGGTCCTGAAATAGTGACTTGAATTGGCATATTCATATCAAACGAATACCAACAACATTTTGTCATGTTTCTTTTTTTTGTGCGTTGAAATATACAAAGACGTAACACAAATATAAAATGGTTTGTGCAAAGGCGATTTTAACTCATTCATTACTTTAGTTTTAGTTACGAACCATTAGTTTGAAATATGATTAAAATAAGAAGCAGCAACGTATAAATAATTACAAAAATTACAAAAAAGTGTTTTTTAATATAAAACATAATATAAATACGTAAAATATACACGTGCAAATGCATTAACGTTTTGTTTGTGCAATGGTTATATTAAAATGAAATGAAGTAATGTTCTTCTAATGTAATAATGTTTGTCACTGGTGGTAGGACGTCTTTTGAGTCCACACGAGTAGGCACTACCACCTTGCCTATTTCTGCCGTGAACCATTAGGTAACATCTTTCGGATTTGAAGGCTCTGGAACCGTTGTATTGTAAAAATTGAAACTTAGAACTCATGTCTCAAGATAAGTGGCGGAATTTTCGCTGTAAATGTCTATGGGTCCCTGTAACTACTTGAGTGAGCTCGTGTCTACCCAACTCAGAAAAAAATCGTCTTATTTTTTTTTTTCAGTTCGTCCTGGCTGCCACGGTCGCCATGAGCCTGGCTAACCCTTTGCCAGAGCCAGAGCCGTTTGGTCACGGAAAAGTCACACAGTAAGTTACCTTATATCAGTTTGGCCAGTATCTGATGATAAGTTTGAGTTTGACTAGCATTTGACGGTGACTTATCGAAATCGGTCCGACCGTTTCCGAGTCTATAGATAAAGCACACATTGATTTTTGATATAAATAGATTTGAAAGCAACTATCGTTAGCAACTGTTATTCACACCACGAACTGCACAACTTACAAGAACATCTTCAGTAGGTCAACGACCCGATAGTCTCTTCGGTCTAGTATTTAATGACCCTGACTATTGTAATAAATATTTGGTATTCGAGGTCTGCATGTGCTTGTTCATGTCACGTATGTGTTTTTGGTATTTCATAAGACGCAAATAAATCTTAAATCTATATATATAAAAATGAATTGCTGTTCGTTAGTCTCGCTAAAACTCGAGAACGGCTGGATTGATTTGGCTAATTTTGGTCTTGAATTATTTGTGGAAGTCCAGGTAAGGTTTAAAGGTAGATAAATATAAAAATGCTCAGAATTAAATAAAAATAACAATTTTGTTTTTCCTTTGATGTGTCCCCCGTCGGACGAATTCCTTTTGTTTGTTTTAAGTTTATTCTAGACAGAACTTTAGGTCTTTTATTTATCGATTGAGGCACTACGAAGTGCCGGGTCAGCTATAAATAATAAATATTTACTAACAATCACGCCACGTTAACTGGTCCCGTGCTAAGTTCGTAAAGGACTAGTATTACTTGTATAATATTACCTACACAGTAAATTGTTGAATGTGTGTAAATTATCCTGAATTTGCGCGAGATACTGTGTTGGATACGTTTGTTTTAAGAATTCACGTGCAGGACGAAGCCTTATGTGAGTTTGTTGCCAAGATTCTGAGAATACGTGAAATAAAATTCATGATACGTACATTATGAAGGTTCTTAGAAAATCACATTTTTTTATTGCTTAGATGGGTAGACGAGCTCACAGCCTACCTGGTGTTAAGTGGTTACTGGAGCCCATAGACATCTACAACGTAAATGCGCCACCCACCTTGAGATATAAGTTCTAAGGTCTCAAGTATAGTTACAATGGCTGCCCCGCCCTTCAAGCCGAAATGCATAACTGCTTCACGGCAGAAATAGGCGGGGTGGTGGTGCCTACCCACGCGGACTCACAAGAGGTCCTACCACCAGTAAAAAATTGTGTAAAGTAGATTAAATTCCATTTCAGATCTCTTTTAAAAATAATTTAATGTCAATTTGTTTTTAAATTACGAGTATTAATTCCGAATATCTTCGTTACAGTTTCAGGATCCACGTACCTTACGAAGTGCATACTCTGCACCATCACCACACCCACGTTCAGAAAGTGCCCGTCATAAAAGAAGTGCCTGTGATCAAGGAGCTGCCTATCATCAGAGAAGTTCCAGTCGTGAAGACACTGCCTATTGTTCATCCTGTTCCTGTGCCCATTGTGAACACAGTCCACGTTGAGAAACCTGTGTTCCTGCCCATCCATGAGCATTTAAGTTATTCGCATTGGCATTAACGTGGTTTGTGGGTGTGTATTCAGAAACGTCACGTCACGAGCGACACGTGTTCGTGAAAATTAATTTTCCAATCCAAAATCAATATTTGTTTTTTATATGAAAATGGTTGCTTACGGCTTACCAACATGCAAATAATTATCCTAGTCAAAGTAGTTGCATAAAAAGCCAACAAAACAATGTAAAATAAAATTCGTTACCATTCATGTTTCTGAAACGCACTAGTGATGTAGTTAGTGATGTAAATAACAAGTTTTATATTCACTTATGCTATCGTTAATATAAAAACAACATTTTTTCGATCTACTGTGATAATACGAAATATACTTGATATTAAAAAAGCAGTTTTTTAATTATTTTATATTTATTTAAGCCAATAGTTTTGTTTCATGTATAGTTTTGTTTTCGATTTTGCTTAGTGTGAAATAGCCGGACTGCGACCTACGAGCTGGGGGTGGTAAGCCAAGCATGTTAGAGTTGAACCGATTAAAATACCCTTATGCTTAACAACCCGCGTCAGATGATATAGTACTCTCACCCAATGCAAGCTAGGCAGACAATGTATAACATTGTCACAGGACCGAACAATTTTTAAAACGCTTAATGCTACTTTTATTCTGCTTCAAATTTAATTACGAGAGTGTATCTTATTGTAATGTTCACTGTTCCACCTATCATCGATGAATCGTGGCGATTCAATTTTCAAATGTAAAGTTATCGTAAAGCCATTGTTCAAACATATCGCTGAAGTGCCGTGACCTATTATTGGCGGCTCGCGGCCTATTATGGCCGTGTCAAACTCGCAGCCATTTGTTTGTCAAACCGATGACATAAAGGCAACCAGTTCGCAATAAAATTCATTCCGTTTTAATTTGTAATTGCATTAATCAATCGATGTTGGATGTGAACAGTAATTAATTCGATTATAATTTTACTTGCGATTTATTGAACACATTAAAACTTTTGATGTGTATTCATTGGATTAATTTTTAATTCACGCTATGTTTTTAATACCTATCTCATAATAACTTAAAGTATTTAAGAATTTTTTATCTAGGATTTTTTTTATTGCCCTTGTAGACAGACTAGCATACGGCCCACCTGATGGTGAGTGGTTACCGTCGCCCATGGACTTCAGCAATGCCAGGGACAGAACCAAGCCGCTGCCTACCGCAACGGAATCTTCTATGTTATATTATATTTTCTCAGGAATTGTTTGAGATTATTTTGTCTTCTTTTTTAGCTTCGTCACACTCTCCAACGTCGCAGAGTTAATCCCTACTAGTAACCTGTCATTCATCCAATGCGTTTCCACTGAACACTTAACACCTATCATCCGGCTCCAGAATCCCCTCCGTGATGTTTCTCGATCGCTATGTATAACTTCAAACGATTGCATGGAAAACTTCCTAAGAAGCAATATAAAAATGAAATAATATTACATTAAGATTTTTTTGTTTGTTACGTCCTAGCTTTTCCCCTGCAGCTTTTTCTACGTATACTTTAAATTGAATGGGCGGAGATCCGCAGTTAGATGAAAGGTAGATTAAGTTCTTTCCAAACTATATGCAAGAAACAAAGTTTCATACACAATAATAATATTTAGTGCAATGTGACTTCTAGCATGGAAGAATATATAATTCAATTCCAAAACTGAATAACAACAAAGCCTATATGTTGTTCCAAATTGATTCCTGTCTACTTGTGAAAACAAGGCCTACTTGTGTCAGACAGAAATTAATTCTAAAAATCGCTGATTCGTCTTACATTATCCTTCTTTAGTTACCCCTGTTTACTTTTATTAGTTTACTTCGATTTACAGATCACATACATCGTATTCCACTATTTTATTTTATTCACTGTTATGAATTCAGTTGACCCAAGGCAAATATGTAAAAAATGAAAGTTTTAACACTGTAATTCCCACATAGCGGACACGTTACGTACAAACGTAGCGAAACCCAATTAATTTAAAATTTGAAAAACAATTACGATACTGTAGCAGCTTCGTATAAATCACGTTGTCACACACGAACGCTTGAATTCCACCCAATTAATTCTTTTGTACTGTAAGCATTCGTTATTGATAATTACTTCATTCGCGAACCCCTTGACAGTCTGGTACCAGTTAAAATTGAATCAGCTAAAGTTAATTTTTAAACGTTAATATTTCACTTTGTGATATTGAAATAAAAAAACTGTTACAGTTTGAAATAAAATCTATTGGTTGAAAGAGATCCCATTATTTTAAAGTACTTTTTAATTTGTTTTCGAATAATAAATCGTACTGAAATGTAATCTTTAACTTGATTAAAGAAGAAGTCATTGAAAATACATAAATATTGTAACTTGATTAAACAAAAAGTAATTTAAAATACATAAATATTATACAAATAAGTTTTAGCGCATTACAAAGAATTTATGACGTAAGTGAAAGACTATCCAGAAATTTCCAATACGCCACTTTCACTTCTTATTGCGAAAGTCACCATAAATTCAGTATTGTATAAAAATGGTTGGAATCTTGTTATAATAGTTTTAATTCCAAATGAAGAACTTGCTACGTCACAGCTCGGAGTTAAAAGCTCAAAAATTCCCAAAAGACCAGTAAAGCACACGGAAATCACGAATTAAATTCGGACACATTTCAACGAAATATAATTTATGATTGCGGTCGATCACTGTTAATGAGCTTACACGAGTGAATAGGCTTAAATAGACAATATTATAACTAATAATATTGGTTTGAGCGGAAGAACACTTCTGTGGTAGTTCTAACCTCAAATATTAAGTGTATTATTTATGGTTCTAACCGAGATCACTGCAGTCAGATTAGCGTATTTTAGATTTCGATTACTGTATTTAAAATTGGCATTAAATATTCTGTATATTGGTGGATTTTTATGTTAAACGCATGAATGGTGATTCTGAAGCACCCGTTATGTTTGTTAAACTTCTGTAGAGGATTACAATTAGGTGACCAAAAATTAATTTTAAGTATAATTCATAAATCAAGTTTGACACTATTTTGTTCACTTCTATTTTTTATGGTTATACAAATTAACGTTCGGTTAATTAATTAATTTTATTGTTTTTTTTTTAATGTCATCCGATTAAAACGACGGTGATTCGGATATATGTATATATTTTTGTTACAACGGCTTCTGAAAATTACACTTAAGATTTTTCATTAATGAAAAAAAAAAGTTTAAATACATTTAATAAATTTTTAAAAGTTTTCATTCTTTTATTATAATTTATTAAGATTTTTTTACGTTTTTGGGTCAAATTTGAATCATGCCATTGTTCTCATTCACGATTCCCAATAATTAGTAAAATGTTAAATGTTCTACCAAACGCCTATTTTGAACTACATAATTATTATTCTGTAAATAATGTTTTTAAGCTAAATCACTAAGGTCAACGACAAATCAATACGTTTTTTATTAGCTAAATCTCAAACTGACATTTTTATAAAGTACTAGAGGTCCCGCAGTAGTCGAAATTCGACTATAATGAATTGGAATTGTAAGTTTGTACACTATTATGATTGTATTTTATACTTCTATCACAAACTACTAGGCCATAATAGGCTACTAATCACAAACTTCGCCAAGGCTACACTATAAAAATATTAACAAAGACAAACAATATTTAATCTATTCTCAATTTGACAACAGACGCCAAGAACAAAAGTTTGACAATAAATAGTACCTATGCATGCGTGTGTGCGTCAAATATATGGTATGTAGTGTGTGTAATGTTTTCTTTATTGATTTAATGTATCTTTTATGCATTATTTAAAAAAAAAATAGCGTTGTGCACTTCTTCTCTATATTGTCTATAAGTATGGAAAATTTCATACGCCTCCGTCCGCGCAATTTTCGTAAAAAGGGATGCAAAGTTTTTGCTTCACGTATTAATATATAAATTATAATATGTTTGTATTAATAAAGCTACACACAACGTAGCTTGTTATTATCCAAGTTATTGGCTGCTCAATTTATCATACGAGACAGTAAACAATTATGCGGGTCAGCTATTTCTGTATGCGAAATAATGAACCGGAAATTATGAACAATCGGAAATTTCAGGAATAACTTGTGAAATCGATTCGTTTGAGTTTTGGCGTAATGACAGCCTATCGGAATGTGCATGCTGGCTTTGTGATTTCATGCGATAATTATTTAATTCAATGACGTTTTCAAATAATATTAACCCGTAATTGGCAATTTTATAGTTATAACTTTGTTTGTTGCTTATTGAATTTTCATTTGTATTATATAATATTATATTATGTATATATTATATTGAATTTTCATTCTTCTTTTGTTTTTTTTAATTATTATTATTGTTAAATCTCTGTTGATATATTAATGTAATGCATGCTGTGATTGCCTCTAATTAGAATTGCAGTTATCAATTGCTCTATACATGTCAAAGTTATTTTATGTCTTACTGTAAACCCTGTTGACAATTCTTAAATAAATAAATAAATTTGTTAGACAACGGTACGGTTGCGTCTCTGGCATTGTCGGTACACATGAATAACGGTAACCAATCACCGTCCGGCGGGTCGTAACTTCCTCTGTCATCGAAGGCCATAAAATTAACATTAAATTGATTCAATTCACATTTCGAGCTTGCTTGTAAATACATAGCAGTAAAGTTATATTTGTGATGTTTATGAACTCCAGCTACTTAAACCAGGTACTTTTCTATCTATCTCTAAGCCAAAATCAAACAATTCTCTTTAGTTAGCCATATCAAGTACTAGCCGTACTCGCCCGCTTCGCTGGGCATTTAAAATTAAGATTATTATTTATTGTCATTATTATTAGGGAGTCCAACGCTCAGATAAATATTAGCCTATCCATTAAGTACATGTATTCTCTACATGGATACCAAGTTTCAAGTCAATCGGATGCATGGTTCAGTAGTTATAACGGAACATCCGTAAAAACCACTGTAGATTTACATATTAGTACTAGCTGACCCGGCAGACTTCGTAGTGCCTCAATCGATAAATAAAATACCTAATATTGTATAAAATAAACTTAAAACAAACAAAAGGAATCCGTCCGACGGGAGGCACCTCAAAATTGCTATTTTTATTTAATTCCGAAGCATTTTCATATTTATCTTCCACAAAAAATTCAAGACCAAAATCAGCCAAATCGGTCCAGCCGTTCTCGAGTTTTAGGGAGACTAACTAACAGCAATTCATTTTTATATAGTATATAGATAGATATATAAAATAAGTTATATTAAATTATGACTACTTTATATTTAAAAAATAAAAAAAAACTTTTCTAAGTGAG